GTAAAGTAAGATACTTATTTTTCCAAATACAGCATTGAAAAACAAAAAAGGTTAACTATCAAATCTTCTAGCCGAGATGACAAAAATAGAGAACAAAAAATGGAAAGCGCTCATGTAGTGAGAAATCAAACTTTCCAAGAGCACAAGGAGCCATAGACCTGCATCATATCAAGTGACAATACTGAACTGACCAGCGTCAGTGCCAGACCCTGAATGTATCACACCCTTGATTCTCATTTGCATCAGGTGGACTGACGCTATGGTTACAGTGTTACTCGTCAGTTACGTATTGTCAGGTACTACGGTCAGGAAGCCTGGATGGCTAAATGGTGAGTGTGAAAACAAACATAAATACTCAACATGAACCTGCCTCTTGCATTTCTGTCGGTCACATCAATGTATGAGTACAACATCTAGACTGGAGAGACATCATGGACTTAGCTTACACACATCTTCGAAACTCTAACACGACCTCAATGACTGAATGTGGGAATGACATAGATGAGTATCTTCACTTTACCTCTGATCTATCACTGTCTGGAAGATCCGTGCAATTTCTGGGTTCCTGTAACGAATCGCCTAAGTGTCGAGTTCGTAATAGCAGAACGAATAGCTTTGACCAATGTATGACCACAGCTGTCCATCGAACCAGGAAGCGCTTCCACGTACGCCCTGTCAGCATCTAAGGCTAGAGGATTTTATCTAACCAGTGACTGATAAGCTGACAAGCTGTGCATGAAGGTAAGAGCTGTAAAGGACGCTACTGTAAGCTATTCATGAATATGTACAACTTGCTCTACACAGATCGTTCATAAATGGTTGCCTATATAAATGAAACTTGATTTGATTTCATTCACCATACAGACTATTTAAGATACTTTCTTGACTATCCACAACTCGAGAGTTTCACATTTCGAATATGTTATGTTTTGCAACAATCAGACTTGTACGTCGCATCACAGGAGACTGTTCCTGCTCAATTTGATACCCAGGAGATACTTTCCTGAAGATTTTCAGGGCAGATCCTCGGATTACGAGTGCCTATGTGCACGATCTTTTTAAACTACTGCAGCTGACTACCCAAGTCAGGCTGTTTCTTCCCCTTTACGGCTGGCTCTTCCGGAGAGATTTTCCGGAGATTCCTCGAATTGCAGAGCCTTTCTGGTGCAGTGCGATCTGCATTTTCAACACAACCCAGGAGCTTTTTCATCTGACCATGGTAAAGTGGCGTTTATTGTGTCACATTTAACGGGAAGAGCTGCAGCCTGGGCTACTGCAGAATGGTCTAGAGACACCGAACTATGTTACTCATTGGCCGATTTCATAGAGACCATGAGTCGCATTTTTGACCACTCATCGCCTGCTACAGAGGCCAGCAGAAAACTGTTTCAAATACGTCAGCTCAACCGTCAGGTGGTTGATTATGCCACCGAGTTTCGTACAGAAGCAGCGCACAGCGGATGGAATGTTCCGGCTCTTCGTGACGCCTTCATGACGGGACTTCCAGAACCAATAAAGGACCAGCTGGCTCCACTGGAGACACCCCGGGATCTGGAATCCCTCATCGCTGTGGCCATCCGGATCGATAACCGTCTTCGGGAAAGAGAGAGGGAGCGTCGACGCAACCGAGATGTTATTCCCAGCTTACAGAATTCGTCTCGGAGGGTCGCGCCGCCAGCTGAGGATTTCCAGCCCATGTTACCGGACCGTCAGAGGACTACACTTCTCTCTTTTAAAGATCCCATGACATGCTTTTCCGG